CGTGTGTGTGTGTGTGTGTGTGTGTGTGTGTGTGTGTGTGTGTGTGTGTGTACACTCCTCAGCCCCAGCTGCCTCCCAGAGCCCAACAACCTTGAGGGAAAAAATGCCTGTAGGGGGTCTCTTAAGCTGACTGCCCCTGCCTCTGTGATTCTCTTAAACACTGTCATACATATGGAGACCACATGAGACTCCATGTTTTCTCTGTTCTTGGCCCAAACTCAGCTGGAGCTTCATCTCCAAGGTTTGCTGCTGCTGTATAGGCCTGAAATCCCCTAATAGGAACATGCCTATGAGGTAGCACCCGGTCCCTCCCAGCCCTATGACTCTAAGCCACTGTTTCTAAAACCCTGAGTTCCGAACCAGGCCTGAGCCTGTGATCTGCACCTTTTGGCCTCTCCTTTCCTAAGAGATAGAAAGGCATCAAAGGGCATCTGGAGTTCCCTGGGATTTTGAAAGCAAAACAGCCCTGTCTGTAGCCCTTGTCAGAATCAGCGAAGCTGACCTCCACCTTGCCCAGAGTGCTCTGGGCCATTGTCTTAAGTAGATCCCTTCTAGAACCTTCCTGGGGCAGCTCTCACATTTGATTTGGAGCCTGAGAGTCTGGGGGTGGGAGTAGAAGAATAAAATGAGCTTTTGAGCAAACACAGCCCCGGCCCTTCTCTTGCCCACCCTCCTCATCCCACACAGAATAAAAGGTCTGCCACATGTGCCTGGTGATGAGGTCCGATAAAGCAATTCAATTTGCTGGGCTGAGAGGGAGCAGGGTGTGCTGGGAAAGGATGCTGGCTCCTTGGCCTGGATCTGAAGAAGGAGAGGTTGGTCCCCGGAAGAATCTGGAATGCTAAAAAGAGATGTGGGTACCAAAGGACATAACTGCCCTGATAGCCATAGGCCAGCTCCTTGGCCTGGAGCCCCTCAGAAAAGGGGATCCCAAAGGAGTGTGGAGAAGTGATCAGATAGCTCCTGCCACCCTAAAGAGGGAGACCACATACATGCCCTTAACGGGGAAAGGCTTTAATTTTAGCCCCTCAGCTTCCCTTTGGACTCAGGAGGAGGGGGAGGCTTCTTCAAGAGCCCCGCAAAGGAGAGAGGAGCCCAAGAGTTTGCACCAGTAGGCATACTCTAGATTTCAGCTTTGCCTTCTGACCTTCTTCTTCGGCTACCCCCCTAATTCTAGCTAGGAAACTTACTGCGTCTGATATCTGATTCCATAGTGTGAACTGACTCTAGATGCTCTTGCCTACCTACAGCGCCACCCCACCCCCCCAAAGGCATCCCCAGGTGAGAAAAGTAAAGATGAAGATGGGGAGAGCCGCAGGGGCTGACGGTAGGCTTGCTTACTTTTTATAAGTGGTCAGGATCTTGGGGAATGGAGAACGGAGAGATTGGGCAGTATGCTGGGAATGTTGGGTTGGGGCTAAGTCCTGAGGTCTTGGAACCATCAGGAAACCCTGGACCAGCTGCTATCAGGAACCAATAGCAAGCAGCCGGTTTTCTACACAGCTAACTGCTTGGAGCAGAGGACAACCCAGTTAAGCACCACCAGGGGGCAGCACCCACCCACTCACAGTAGGGCAGGGGGCTCACATTTTCCAGAAGTGTGGGTTTGGGAGGAGAATAGCATTACCTCACACACCGAGCTGAGGGCAATACACCCAGAGACAAGGCCTATGAAGCAGGCTAGTTCAGAGCTTTAGAATAAACTGTCAGTAGGGGCTGGCCCTCTTCCTCCTACATACCATTACCATTTTTTTTTCTTGAGCTCTTCTTGGGACCCCCTAGTTCCAGACCAGCTTTCTCATTTCCCTCCCTTCCTCTGTCGCCTCTTTTTTCCTTCAGGCCCAGATTCCTCCTGCACTCTCCCCAGACACTCATCACCACCCCACCAGTACTGCAGAATAAAAGCACACACTGGGGTTGGAGACGGGGGCTGTTTTATTGGCAGGTGTATGTTCGGTGTCTGGAATAGCTCTGGAAGGTAGTGTGTGTTCAATGGATACATGGATCAAGTCTGGGATGCCGTGCTGTGTCTTCTTTCTGCCTCACACCAGGCCCATCCACGTGCCCGATTTCTCGGGGTGAAGAATGGGAGGTGAAGGGAGGTTCCCAGGCTTCGCCAGGACACGGTCCTGAGAGAACTTTAGAGTCATCCTGACAGTCAGTTCTTTAATGTTCTTCTGGTAATTCTTCCTTTCTCACTCCAGCCCTGGCCAGCCCTGGATCTTCTCAGTCATGTCGTAGTATTTCTTTCTGCTGCAGCTAAACTCTGGAATACAGACAGCATGTCTAAGGTGTAAGAGGGTGCATGCGCACAGAGGATGCCCACAAATGAGAGCTTCTAACTGTAGTTAAGATGGTGGTATGGTCCTCCCGTGCATGTTAGTACAGACCATCAAAGATTATCATTTGTTTTTTTTTTTTTAAACTTCATTCATGATGAAACCATTGCTTATAAAAATCCCTTGCATTTATGTTGGACTTTTAACCTCTCTCTGAAGAACAGGGAAGCCCCAGGCTTGTGTATAGTTTGTTGTTTCGTTTGCCCAGTATTGGATGGGTGCTGCCTAATTCAGAAATCAGATGGTACACAAGCAGTATCAGGTATGATGTGTCAATCACCTTGTGCTTCTGTTTAAAAATCCTCTATCACCCAGAGTGCCTGAAGCAGAGAGAGGCAAAGGAGCTGGAGAGGGAGGATATTAAAGATATAGGTAGTTCTGGGATTTAAAAAAAAAAAAAAGCTAAAAACTAGTGAATCTGGAAATTGCTTTGGGGACATGGCCAGTAAGATCCAGTGCTTCATGTTTTGGATATGGCAGCTTCTCAATTACTTAGCAAATGGATCCTCAGAGGCGAGCACTGTTTGTGTTATCAAGATGAAAAAACACAGAGCAGCCTAGAAGAACCCAGAGTCAGGAAGAGAAGACAGAAACGCAGGAAAAGGCAAAGTGCAAGGAATGGGGCAATAATAGAACCATAAGATGGCACAAGGCAGGATGCGGCGCTTCCTATGTTCCCTTCATGGCACAGAGAGTCAGGCCTTCAACCTGATGATCTTCTGGGTCACAGGGCCACACTCAACACATTTCTCCACCGAGAGCCGCAGGTCGAGGGCTTCTCTCCTAGACCAGAAGCACTTCTCTGCCCAAGGCCATGCTGTCCTGGCTCCAAGGTGGAGGCTGTGATGACTATGGCAGAGACCATGAATAGCCAGGTCTAGAGCACCCAAGATATGGGGCCATGGTAGTCTGAAGGCCCTAACACTGTTTCTGGAGGAGGAGAGGACAGCCTCTTCTTTGATGAGGCTTACCACTCTATTCCATCCTGGTTTCCATTCAGTCACAATAAAGCACTGAAATCGCAACGATACGATCGGCTTAGCTGCAAGAGAGACACAGGTTAGGTTCTGTGTGAAAAGGCTTAGAGAAAGAGAGAGGTTAGAGGTCAGGAGTCGAGAGCGCTTGGGTGTCACCAAGGGCTGCAGTGGGTGGAGCTGAGGGCTAGGGAGAGGCGGGGAGTGGGGCCGAGAGGGGATGGCGGCGGAGGCGCGCAGGGGCGGCGCGCGGCGCTGGGCACTAGCTGCGAGCGGGTTACGCGCCTCGGCTGGTTTGGGATGCGCGGATGAAGGCTGAGCTCCGCCGCCCCAGCTCCGCAACGTACCTAATCGGCCAGGCGCCGTGCCGCGCCCACCCCGCCCCGCGGAGGGCGCGCCGGGGTCAGGCGGGGCCGCGAGGAAAAGGCGCCACTTGGAGCGCCGCATCTGCTGCCATCGCGGGAGGGAGACGCAGAGCCCTCGGAGCCCTATTCCTCTTCCTCTGGCTTCCAGGCTCTCCCTCCCCTAGACCACCTCTCGCCCGCCCCTAACAGCGAGCCAAGGCCGGCGCCCCGCCCGGAGATGGGCAGGCGCGTAGATGGCGCGGCTCCCGGCGCCGCCAGATCGCAGGAACCCGGCGCCGGGGCGCTGCGCTGAGGCTCCCCCTTGGCGCGGCCCCGGATGCCTGCAGGTGTCCTTGGCCATTCGGCCGCCGCCCGGGATACTCCTGCGCCAGCGCCGGGTGCCTGGCTTTTCAGAGCAGCCCCGCCCTCCAGGCTCTGCGCTGCGCAGGACGCCCCGTCTGAGCCCCCCCCTCGTCCCGCCGCTGCCCCCGCAGCGCGGCACCCAGCCCGGCGCAGCTCCCGGCCGCGGACGCAGGACCCGGGCTCTCTGCTGCGGGCGCGCCTGTTTTCCTCCTGCTGCCGCCTGGTCCTGCACAGCCCCCGCCCGCTGGTCCCTCTCGCTCGGATCAGCCCCGCCCGCCATCGGTGCCCCGCGCTGGATTTATGAATGGGGGGAAGAGGCCACATGCAGCCACCGCCGCCTCGAGTTGACCGCACACTGCCGGGCCCCGCAGAGCTCCGACTACCCTAAGAGCATCCGCCTGGCCTCGGTAGCTGCTCCGAGGACTTGTTGCTGTTACGCTGCTGCCGCTGCCGCCGCCACCGGGAGAAAACCAGCCGCCTTCAGGCTCAGCGCGGTCTGGGAGCCAAAGGGTGGCCCGCGTGAGTGTGAGCGCGCGCGCCGCGGACCCTCGCAGTGCTCTGGGACTGTGCGCTTCTCTGTCTTTCTGGGGTTGGGGGGCGTGTCCCCGGCCCTGAGCATCCTTGTGCTTGCCCCTACCTCCCGGGACCCCTGGCTTGAGTCCTCGACCCTGGTCTCCACTTCCTGCCTCCCCTAGGCTCTGCCTGCCCCATTCCCAACCACCTGTACACTAGAGAAACCCAACTCCTCCTGCTCCGCGCCCTGGGGGGGAGGGGAGGGGGGAGGCAGGGGCAGAGCCACGCCGCAGAAGGGGCCGCCACTGCCTCCTGCCTCCTCCTCCTCCACCTCCTCCTCCTCCTCCACCTCCTCCTCGTCTCCTCCCCCTCCCCGGTCTGACGCTGCCTCCTTGGGAAGGGTGTTTGGAGGGCAGCGGCCGCCCCAAGCCGGAGCCCCGCAGCGCTTCTTATGATCAGCTCGGTGTGTGTCTCCTCCTACCGCGGGCGCAAGTCGGGGAACAAGCCTCCGTCCAAAACATGTCTGAAGGAGGAGATGGCCAAGGGCGAGGCGTCGGAGAAGATCATCATCAACGTGGGCGGCACGCGACATGAGACCTACCGCAGCACCCTGCGCACCCTACCGGGCACCCGTCTTGCCTGGCTGGCGGATCCCGACGGCGGGGGTCGGCCGGAGTCGGATGGCGGCGGTGCAGGCAGCAGCGGCAGCAGCGGCGGCGGCGGCGGCGGGAGCTGTGAGTTCTTCTTTGATCGGCACCCGGGTGTTTTTGCCTATGTGCTCAACTACTACCGTACCGGCAAGCTGCACTGCCCCGCCGACGTCTGTGGGCCTCTCTTCGAGGAAGAGCTCACCTTCTGGGGTATCGATGAAACTGATGTGGAACCCTGCTGCTGGATGACCTATAGGCAGCACCGTGATGCTGAGGAAGCACTGGACATCTTCGAGAGCCCGGACGGGGGCGGGGGTGGCGCAGGGCCCAGCGATGAGGCTGGCGACGATGAGCGGGAGTTGGCCTTGCAGCGTCTGGGCCCCCATGAGGGAGGCGCGGGCCCTGGTGCTGGATCTGGAGGCTGCCGTGGCTGGCAGCCCCGAATGTGGGCGCTCTTCGAGGATCCCTACTCATCCCGGGCAGCCAGGGTGAGTGTCAGAAGCCAGGGTCTCCACATCTTGGTGTCTAAGGGGTTCTTGATGCTGGTGTTGGTGGGTTGGATGGTGGGGGTGGGGTGGAGAAGGAGACCACCACACCTGGCGAGCTCTACCTGCCTGCCTCCCAAATCCCTCCTGGGCCCTTGGAAGTCACCCCCTCCCCCCTTGCATGCTCCACCAGGAGATTGCACACACTTGACTTTCTACTTGGACCTAATCCCAGCTGTCTGCCTCTCCACATAACCCTCAGTGAGTGGCATGCCTTCAACTTGGCTTTGCTCGCTCCTCTTTGGTCAGCACAGTTTGCCCTGAACAGGACCATAGTCCTGGAGAGCTTGAATTTGGTCTTTTGCAGGGGTAAGGCCGGATCAGGAGAAGGAAATCTTGGATTGTGATGGACACTTACCTGTTTCCATCTTGCCAGCAGCTCTGTGTGCGGGCAGCTGTGCATTTCATAGAAGGGGCACAGTGTCCATAATGCCCAGCTCATAAGAGGCAGAGATCCCCAGAGCCCAAGCCTCCCTTCCTGACTGGGGATCTTTCTTCCAGGGAGCAGGCCATGTCCCAGAGCTCTCTGTACCTCTGTCATAGCCTGGCCTTTCTGAGATGGTGTGGAGAACTAGACAGGAAAAGCCTCCTCTTTTAGGCTCTTTGGGATCCCAGGACATTGACCAGCTACAAGCTTCCTGGTGATGCTACCAGACTTGTCACTGCTCTTTTCTTTCTGCTCTAGCACAGAGTGGCTTCCCGGAAAGCCCTGGTTCAGGTTACACTGGAAATGGACAAGTGTGGGGAGAAGGGGAAACAGGTTGATTTAGATAAGACCTAGTCCCTACCCTGAAGGGAGGAGGGGGTGCTAGAAAGATAGGTATTCATTCACTGCATCGTGCTTGGGCAGCTAAAACCCCGAAGAAGGCTTTAGAAATTTAAAAATAGAAAAGCCTGCAGGCTGGTGTCTGCTCTCATGGCCTTAGCCTAAAACCTGGTTGAGGTCTGTCTAGGAGACAGGAGAGAGAAAGAAAAGCAGTGTGGTTTGCTGTGTTTGCGGTCTGCGTCTGTGAGCTGAAGCTGGACTGATTGGTTCCTTTGGCATCCCAAGTTGTCATGCTAATGAGTCTCAGAGCCTTGGTCTCCATCTCTCTTCAATGCCCCATGGGCTGGTCCTCACCCTAGTCACGGGAGAAAAAGTTCCACTTCCTACTCAGGGGAGAGAGAACGGTTGAAGAATGCAGTTGAAGGGATGGGTTAGGCTGGTATAAATACCAAGCCAGGGCAGTGCATCTCCTGCCTGGAAGAGGAAGGAGGTGGAGATCTTACCAAGAGGTCCCAAGCAGGGCTGCGACTCGAAGCGACATCTGGAGTCGTTTCCAGGCCTTATTTATTGTAGCTGCTTTGGCTTATAGCTTTGTGGTCCTGAAAACCAGCTAAGAAGTAGGGAACACAGTGTAATGCCCCTGGCCAGTGCACCCCTGCTGTGAGTTTATTCACCTTGATGGCCCTTAGCTGGTCTTCACTAGGAAAGAGAGACAGCCACAAGTCATTGAGACTTTTTTCAAAGTTGTGAGGTAGAGAGGAGGCAGAAAGGGGCCAAAGGAGGGAAACCGTTATGGAAAAAGGTGATGAAGGGAACGAGGCCCTATTTCTGAGCATCCTGGGGCCCCTGCTTCCTTTTTCCCTCTGGAATTGTGCGAGGCTCTACCATCAAGCAGAGGGTTAATTCTCCCATTTAAGTAGGGAAGGGACGGGGATTCAGACACAGTAACTGTCTTGCCAAAGCCATCTTCAATTCCCAACCTTCAGATCATTAGGATGTGGACAACACTGTGGAGCTCTGGCTGGCACATGTGCCAGAAGACTTGCCCACACCTAAGGAACACAGACAGAGACCAGTTCTGAGCTGTTCTGGTCACACAAGTGGGGATACACAATTTATTAAAAAAATTAATAACGACTCGTCATTGAGCATCCTGTACCAGTACACTGCTAGGAAGACATTACATTGATCTCTCCTCTTCCTAATGAATTTAAAACAATGCCCACTTAACAGATTGAGGCTGGGAGCAAGTAAACCACTGGCCTGGGATTACAGCACTCTGGCAGGTTGTTGAATCAAAGTTGGGGCTCCTTCATGCCTAAGCCCTCACTCTGTCGCTACCACGAGCTTTCCCCACCGGATGAGAATGTTTGCTGGGTGGAGAAGTGGCTAGTTCCCTCTCTCCAGCCTGCTTGGAGTCCTTAGGTTCTTCTCGTCTGTGAATAGACATAGGAAACCCAGGAACCAATGGAACTCAGAAGTCCGGGGGGACATCAGAAGGGATGCTTACCCTGTGACTCCTTAAGACCTGAGGGCCCACAGCCACAGAGAGTTCTGAAGCTGCATTTGTTTTCTCCACTGGCCCCCAAGTTGGCAGAACTGTCCTCCCAGGAGCTCTGTGCTGTTGGATATGTGTGCATCCCATCCCAGTCAGCTGCAGTTTCCTTGGAAGGAGTTTGCAACCCGAGGGGTTTGTAGACTCACGATGTCACCCAGGAGGGCACGTGAGGGCAGAGGAGCTGTGCTCTCGGCCTGGAGGCAGCTCTTCCCATACAACGGTCCCGTCATTTGGATAGTATGTTTGACGGGAGCACAGCAGACACACACGTGAACTGAGCTAATTAGGAGAGCCTGTTGCCTAGCTACTGGCCAGGCTATCAGCTGGTCCATTCCGGAAGGCTCCTAGGCAGGATGATCCCCCGCCCCCTGCTGCCTTCACGGTAGTCAGGCCGCTCCTGCAGGTCTGTTTCTTGTGGCCTGAGCTGAGGGCAGGCTGGTTCTGTGCTCAGCCTCTCATGGACACTGCCCTGGGGCAGAGCAAAGACTCCCTTAGATTGTTGTATAACCCAGGAGAGGCCAGGAGGGACTTGGGCAGCACTCAGATCTATAGAATCTTGCCTTGTTCCTTCTGAGAGTGGACTAGAGGCCTAAAGGAACCCTGGGCTACCTCACTTCCTTGCTCTGTTCTTTAGAGTTCCCAAGCTGAGCTGAATTTAATTCAGCTGTCAGATGTGTAAAGGGCCTCGGCCCTTCTCTTTTGGCTAAGGTTCTTGGATGGATCTTTTTTCTTACCACGTTTCCCTTCAGAATAGAAGGGGCTGATCACAGGATTCCCATTGCCTCAGGAGGGCAGCTAGAAATGAATGTCTGTTGAAATGAATGGCAGCTAGAAATGCATCTGCTGTGTGATAGGAGCTTGACCTGGGCTTTCTTCTGCTACCTCCTGGTCAGGAGAGGGAGGAATCATTCACCTCAGTGAACAGATGAGAACACGGAGCCACAGTGACACCCGTCCAGACAACACAGCCCGTCCCACCAGGATCCAAACTCAGGGCACATGAGTCCACATCTGCTGTTCCTCCTGCCCCTGCAGCTCCGGCCCAGAAAGGGTCTCTGGCTTCTGGAGGGCTTGGGGGTGGCTCTCACTGGAGAACCTCCTCTTCCTCCACTCCATTCCTATCCCCTTCTTTATTTCTTTTCATTTCTAGAATTGCCTGGGTCTGACCCCTGGCTCTCACTTTTTCACCGGGTGACTTTGAGAAGAACCAAGAGGCCAGACTTGGTTACTGATAAACACTAGGTTGTGGAGTAGAGCGTCAAAACTTAGGCCCCTCTCTGGGTCTGACATGGTTGGTAGTCACAGCAGTCACGACAGGCTTCAGAGGGAGGGCCAGCACTCGCTGAGGCTGTGCCCTCGGAGCGAGGGTGTAGGGTGAACATGAAATGTGAGTCCAGAAGGGTAGTGCCAGCCCACCCTGGACAGCCAAAGGCTGCAGATTCCCTGCTGATTCTGCCCCAGGCGGCCTCTCGGGTTCCTCCTCGAGCTGTTTCTCTTTCTCATTCTGACTAGATCACCATTGGCCTCAGAGCGTCTTGTCTCTGGATGATGAGTTGTTTCTGTTTGTCACCATTTTTTGTAAGAACGTGGAGTGGGGGAGGGGAGTGAAATTCGACGGGCTATTTTGGAGATCTAAGGGAAGAGCAGGCAGGAGCAGAGTTAGGTAGCTGGGCCTTGGGAAGAGCTTGCTCCTTGGTCCTCCACCTGCACAGCGGACATTGTTGGACTAAGTGCCTAGCACCAGCCACTCAGTACCAACATGCCATGATGGCCGAGCTCCCTGCTGATTGTCCTTCTGGCCGTGAAGTGGTCACCTGGTGCTTAGCAAGGAGCCCTGTCAGAGGCAGGGTTGGCCCACTCTAGCGAGCTGTCAAGTTCCCTGCTGTCTGGAGGTACTCCTGGGCATACCTTGGTTACCTCTAGCCCCGGCCACATAGCTAATGATCCCTTCTCCTGACAGCTTGCCAGTCCTGTGAGAAGAGGCTCCAGCCACTTCTCATCTGGAAGACACTTACCGAGCACTACATGAATAGCTTCATGCTGGGTTCCAGACATGTAAAGAAGAGCCCAGTGGTAGAGCTAGGGCAGGTAGAATAAAGACACTAGTGACCAGGAATAGCAGCCGTAATATTAGGTGTACTGTGATGGGTGATGTGGTAGCTGTGAAAGATAAAGTCCAATAGGCAAAGAGGAGTGACAAGTCCCACCTCTAAACGGGGTGGGGCTTCTGGGAGGAAGCAGAAAGTTGAGCTGAACGGGCCTTGTAGGATAAAGACTTATCTCCTTGAATCAAGGCTAAATGAAGGCATTGCTTTAAAAACACATAGTGCCCAACTCTGCAGAGTCAGGGACAGGATTGTCTGGCCAGGGAAGGCAGGTCTGTATGGGACATGGCAGAAAGAACTTGACCAAGGAGAGGCTCTTGGACAGTGGCTTGGGCTGGATCAGATCCCGTTTGGTTGAGGACTCCCAGTTTCTGGGCAGGCCAGTGATGCCCATCCAGCAAGGGTGAGCACAGGTGAAGGTCAACACTGGTTGCTGGAACTAGGGGTTGCTGACTCACAGCCAGGTTTGATAGACAGAGAAAGGAGGAGTGGCCCTCAGCTAGCCTCATGTGTGTCTCACTTGGGAGCCAGGAGCTGCTTGGAGCTGTCTTTCATGGCAGGCCCTGTTCCTTCCTTCCCTTTCACCCCAGGGCACCCCACTCCCTATTCAGCACTGCCTGGGTACTAAGATCTGGCTTCACCAGGAGGCTCAGCCCCTCACCCGATCTCCACAGATCTTCCTCTGCAAGCATCTTTGGCTGTGTTCTCAATTTTTCCTTCTCCTACACGTCTTCCTTAATATAGGTTTTGGGCATGAGTCTCCTTATGTTTATCTGTCCATCTGTCTCCCTGGCCCTCCTTCCCTGGACTCCCCTCCCCAGCCCCCAGTGATTGTATTCAGTTCCCATTGACTAGTGTCTGTCACCTCTCCACTCACCCAGCCTATGCCAGATCCCAGCCACGCCAGGCTCTGGGCTGAGTCTCACAGGTATCATTTCTTTTAGTTCTCAGAACAGCGCTGTTAGGTAGATTCTGCTCGCATCCCCTCCAAGACTTGGGGTCTTCGCACTGTTGTTCCTGCTGCCTCAGGAACTCTTTCTTGTAGGTCTCCATTCAGATTTCACCTTGTCATTGTGACCTGGCTCCACCGTCGATGCCTCCTGTTTCTGGTTTTCTCCACAACACTCATGCCATTGGCTATGCTGTGTAAATGATCTGTTTGACAGCAGTTTCTTTCCACGGGGATGCAAGGTCCGAAAGTCGAAAGTCGGGAGGGTTTCTCTAGATGTTTCTTGCTGTTCCCAGCATGCTGGCACATAGTAGGTGTTCAAGTTGCCACTCTATAAATGCAGATTCTAAGGCTCGTTGGGGCTAAGAAATTCACAGAAGTCTCCTAGGCAGTTGGTAACAGAACCCAGTTTGAACCCACAAGTGTGACCTTTCATCTGTTCAAAGACAGTGGAGTTACTAGGAAAAGCTGATAGTTGCAACACTTGGGCCTTTAGAGACGGGCAGGTCCCTTAAAGGCCACAATGGCCCGTGTGTGTGTGTGTGTGTGTGTGTGTGTGTGTGTGTGTGTGTGTGTGTTCGGGGGGTGTCTCAGGAGAACAGGGTACTGGTAGAGTGCTGTCCTGACTGCTGGGGGTGACCTGTCCTGGGTGCTGAGGCCCACCTACCTCCTCTGGCAGGGGCAGCCAGTTCACACCAACAGTTTTCTGCCTGGGCAGTTTTGACTTCCATTAGAATCCACAGCCTGTGTCCTCATGCCAAGGAGAGAGCAGACGGTGTCAGCCATGGCATCCAGGACAGAGCACTTCTAGCCTTCAGGTTTGTCTCCCAAAGCAGAAAGGGGCTTGATTTGTATAAACTCCTGAGGATTCGGTGACTCGATAGTTTTAGATGTGGGAGGGAGTTCCCCTAGAGACTACCTCCACCTCAGCTTGGTCACCATTTCACGGAGCACTTAGCAGATGTTAGGCGCGTGCTGGGTTGAAGCTCACTCATCCTACAGTGATGGTGAGAGGCGAGGACTTGTACGGTCCCAGCACACAAGGGGAGGATGGCCCAGGGGGCACACATCGCTTACCTGACTGACCCTAAGAGACAACAGACTTCCCAGCTGAGGCTGCCAGCTTTCGCTCTGCCTTGCCCTCAGGCTGGCAGTGCAGGGCCGGGTGAGAGGGAGGGGCAGGCGCAGCGGACAGACCTACAGTCACTGCTCACGGGGGCTGAAGTTGAAGCACAGTCTGTGACCCCTTGCAGGGTGCCGTTTCTGGAGCTGCTGTCTCTTGGGATCCCTTTGGTCCTGGGCAGCCTGAGTCAAGGGCCTTGTGGGACATGAAACAGTATCCCTCCCTCAAGGATGAGGCCGGGCAAAAAGCACTAATTACACCAGCCGACCGACCGCTTAGGAAACATTTGCCTGAGAGTAATGTAGAGGAGAGGAATACTGTAGGTCACTACAGATCCTAAAAAACCTATACAACCTTATGGCAATCATGGGATGGCTCTGTGCTTAAAAAAAAAAAAAAAAAAAAAAGCCAAGGAGACCACAGGAGTTGGGGTTGCTTTTGCTCCCCGTGAAGGTGGTCTGGGCCTGCTGCTAACACCTGTGGTAGAGGCAGCTGAGGAATGCAGACTGCAGCCAAGGCTGGACACCTCCCTCTGGCCTCTGCTCCCTGTGCTCAGCCCCTTGGCAGCTCTGCCTGACCTTGTTTTTCCACATCACTAATTAACCTCACACTCAGGCTCCCAGGTGGGCCGGCTCTGCTGGCTAATGGTCCCTGAGAGAGAGAGAGAGAGAGAGAGAGAGAGAGAGAGAGAGAGAGAGAGAGAGAGAGCGAGAGCGCACGCCAGCCTCCTGGCCAAGCTAGGAAGTGCTGTCCTAAGCCCTCACTCTGGTTCCTTCTGCTTCTTGGAGCACAGGGTGGAGCCAGGACCCTGGATTCCCACCATTGCCAGAGCCCCAGGCAGGCACTGTCACCAGCTCCTAGCCGATGGCGATGGCGATGGCCGCGGAGAGCCTGCAGCAGCCTGTGCTGTCTTGGCAGCCCATATCTCAGGGGGGGGGAAGTGAGGCCAGCAAAAGCACTTGAAATTTACTTTCCCAGGGAGAAGTAGGCAGGAGGTGCCCCAGGAAGAGCTGTAAAATAAGGAGAGAGCCTAGAGGCCCTCTTCCCCAACCTGCTCCTGTCCTTACCGTCTGTGATCAACCCATCTAAAGCGGAAGGGAAATAACGCGGTCATGTATGATGGGAGACCTGTCCTGTGTAGGCTCACATCCTCATGTGGAAATAGCAGGCATCCGGGAACTGGGACAGGCTCAGTAATCAGGGCCTGGATTCCTGGGCCTGGGAAGCGACTCTGCTTGGATGACAGTAATGATGGTATGGTATAAAGGAATGTACAGGCCACATGATTTTGGGGCCATACCTGGTTCTTCCCTGCTCTGGGCAGTGTGGCCCCAGAAGAGGTACTCGACCTCTCTGATCCTCAGTTCTTCCTGTGTGAAAGATGAAATCTGCCTGCCATGTCACTAAGAAGATTAGACAGAGACCCATATAGGGTGCCTAATAGTCCCAGGGAGAGAAGAGATAGTGAATGTCATGGTCCAAGTTCCTTCCTCGACTTACTTCTATCCCAGAGGGTCTTGGGGATGTGATTTCTTGCCTGGCTTTCCATGTTTTCTGTTGGTATCTTGCAGTGACTGCTCCTTTCAATGTAGGTACATTGAGGAAAACCCCTGACAGGCAGGTCTGAGTGCTCACCGCACGGGAATAGGGACAAGGCCAGGTAGAAATTGGAGCAGGGCAGGCGTGGGGTTGTCAAATGTGCGGCCATGGACCTCCCTCCATCATTCTCCCTCAGTAGGTTCGGTCCTCCACCCGAGGTTGGGGAGGGAAGCCAAGCCCCAGCCACCACGCAGGACCAGTAGCAGGAGAGTGGACCTTGACAGTGGACGTCTTGGCAGTGCTGAATGGCACGGCATAAATAACAGATGAAGGCTCTGTAATTGGTGTTATTACACACGGATCTCATCTCCATTCATAATGACTGGACACTTAGTCCAGCCATTCCTCTGCCGAATACTGCTGTCTGAGATCCCCATGGCTGTCAGATCAGCTGCCGCCATTCTGATCCTCATAAGTACAGTTCATTTGGCTCTGAAGCTCAGTGTCCCGGCTAGCATCGGTTTGCAGAAAAGGAGACAGACATTGGTTGTGCTGAGAATCCCCCTCCCCATCACCTGTCACAGCCCATGTCTTAGTTAGGGTTTCTATTGCTGTGAAGAGACTCCATGGCCATGGCAACTCTTATAAAGGAAAACATTTAATTGGGGTAGCTTACATTTTCAGCCATTTAGTCCATTATTATCATAGTGTGGCACAGTGACATGCAGACAGACATGGTGCTGGAGAAGTATCTGAATGCCCTACATCTTGACTTGCAGGCCACAGGAAGTGGTCTGGGATACTGGCTGGTATGAGACCCCAAAGCCCGCCAGCACAAATGACACACTTCCTCCAACAAAGCCACACCTCCTAACAGTACCACTCCCTTTGGGGGCTATTTTCTTCCAAACCACCACAGTCCATGTTTGTCTTCCTTCCTGGTTTACCACTCAGGCAGAAGGCGGTTCTGGGTGGCAGGTGGGGTCATGGAGGTAGGTCATGTTAGTGGGGTCAGTTGGCAGAAAGAGGTTATTCCTTATAGCCCTTGTCTCTGGACATCCCTTAAAGCAATGGACCTTTATCTTGAGTGAGTATCAGAGTCACCTAGATGGTTTACGAAAGTACTTTTTGGCCTGTGTCTCCTTCAAGTTTCTCTTTCAGTAGGTTTGTGCTGCTGAAAATTGCATTTCTAACCTGTTTCCACACACTTGATGCTTCTGGCTTAGGCCTCCACTTAGGGAGCCTGATTATTCCAGGTGTGGGGTGTGGACTACACTTCACCTGGGAGCTTGTGAGAAAGGGTGGGACTATAGACCCTTCCTAAACCTCCTGAGTTAGCCACACTGGAACAGGTGTTTCAGCTGGTTTGTCCACACACCACAATTTGAGAACCCTCAAAGCATACATAAATTGGGCAGAGCTGTTGTAGGCAGGGCCAGGCAGCTATGGTACCCTGACTTGTGGTTTCCAGCCAAAAGCAGCCTGCCTCTGTCTTCTGAGAACCCTGGCAAAGATTAGGGGAAGCATTGCTCTAGTGCGCCAGTGCATACAGATCCTCTCATCTCTCTACCTTAATCCCACCCCTTGACCAGCAGTGGACTAGTAACCTTTATGCTCATGTTCCATGAGTAGCGGTCACTGTTTCCAGCGAGGGCAACTACTGCTGATTTGACGGCCACTCCCTATTCTCCTGACCTACAGGTGGTAGCCTTTGCCTCTCTCTTTTTCATCCTGGTCTCCATCACCACCTTCTGCCTGGAGACCCATGAGGCCTTCAACATTGACCGCAATGTGACGGAGATCCACCGGGTAGGGAATATCACCAGCGTGCGCTTCCGGCGGGAGGTAGAAACAGAGCCCATTCTTACCTACATCGAGGGTGTATGCGTGATGTGGTTCACTCTAGAGTTCCTGGTTCGCATCGTGTGCTGCCCGGACACACTGGACTTTGTCAAGAACCTGCTCAACATCATCGACTTTGTGGCCATCTTGCCCTTCTATCTGGAGGTGGGGTTGAGTGGTCTGTCATCCAAGGCAGCTCGAGATGTGCTGGGTTTCCTGCGTGTGGTGCGCTTTGTACGCATCCTGCGGATCTTCAAGCTCACGCGCCACTTTGTGGGGCTGCGTGTGCTGGGGCACACACTCCGGGCCAGCACCAACGAGTTCCTGTTGCTTATCATCTTTCTGGCCCTGGGTGTGCTCATCTTTGCCACCATGATCTATTATGCTGAGCGAATTGGGGCCAGGCCATCTGACCCAAGGGGCAATGACCACACTGACTTCAAGAACATCCCCATTGGCTTCTGGTGGGCCGTGGTCACCATGACGACACTTGGCTATGGGGACATGTACCCTAAGACATGGTCTGGGATGCTGGTCGGGGCGCTGTGTGCGCTGGCCGGTGTGCTAACCATTGCCATGCCCGTACCCGTCATCGTCAACAATTTTGGTATGTACTACTCCCTGGCTATGGCCAAGCAGAAGCTGCCCAAGAAGCGAAAGAAGCATGTGCCGCGGCCAGCCCAGCTGGAGTCACCCATTTACTGCAAGTCTGAGGAGACTTCGCCCCGGGACAGCACCTACAGTGACACCAGCCCCCCTGCCCGGGAAGAGGGTATGGTTGAGAGGAAACGGGCAGGTGAGTAAGGCTTAGGAAGAGGACCCCTTTTTCCCAAGTAGTCAACGGAGTTCCCTTAGCCCTTCAAATTCGGGTCTGTGCTGTATTGTGTGAGCTCCGCTGTGTGTAAGGTGTGCCTCTAGGAGGGCCAAGGATTAAGATCAATTTTTTTTTGTCCTGTGGTTTAATGATCTTGGTGAACACCAGGGTTCTGTGGCGTGAGTTGTCCTTCATGGGACTGTTTGTTAGAAGGGCTGTTTTCGAGTCCCTCCTGGGCCTCCTTGTTTTGTTCCCAGCGGCCGGTCCCTTCCCCTTCAGGCACAGCCTATCGATGGGAATGGCATATCAATATCCTACCCCCTAGACTCTGATGAGACCCAAATGAGTGGTGGGGTGATGTGCTGCGCTTGGAGGAGTTGGAGCAAATGCCAGCGCTGATATGATTAGCCAGAGATCAGGGCAGCTGTTCCTCCAAGGTGCATCAACACATGAGTCACTTCTTTCCCAACATTCACGTCTGCTGTCTCTTGGCCTAATAGATGTGATAACGTAACAGCAGTGGGAGGCTGCCTTCTGTTCAGCTAAAGCTGGAGTGAGTCCTGGGCTCGGGGTTTGACATGGATAGAAGGGAACCAAGGAGGAAGTAGTCCAGGGTCTTGGAAAAGGGGGGGGGAAATGGAAGAAGGAGCCTGTGCCTGTGTCCTGAGGGGAGTAAGACTGGGCCTTACTGTCCTTCCATGGAAAGGCCACTCAAGAAAACTCACCTGCTCTGGGTCAGGAGAGCAGAAGGAAAAGCAGCTTAGTCCCCAAGAACATGGGAGGAGGTCAGAAGACAGGAAAAGCACTATCAGATTCAATGGGTGGGGCTGCCAGGAACGGTAGAAGCACAGGTCTGGAGGGTGACTGTCAGGCCACTGAGGCTGGGCTAGGTAGGGCTGGGAGACCAAGGCAGCAGCTCCTGGTTAAACTCGAGAAGTGGGACTAGTCCTCCAGAGCTGTGCCTGAGTTCAGACACTTACTCGTGACCTCTTGGCATGTACCCACCACACGTGTTGGGGCTCGTTGCTCTCTGGGATTAACTGGGGTCTGGATCTTCCTTGATAAAGAACTTAATAGAGAAGCTTCCGTCTGTTCCCTACCACAGTGGTACCCCTGATCCTGTTGGGGATCTAAGATGTGCTCTGAGGCCCAGTCGGAGCTCAGAGAGAATCCTTGTGTCCAAATACAGAGGGCCTTAGGCAGCCTCCTAGAGGCGCACAGCACTGAGGCCCTTTTCCTGCTTGACCGACTAGCCACACTGAGGTCTTGCATGGCCAGGGCCAGATAGAGTCTTGAGGCCAGGTTAGCTCCACCATATACAGTTAGGGACCATAGGAGCCCCACAGAGAAGAGCTGAACTGGAGCCTCCTGCCTATACCTTTGCAGATGTGAGAGCTCTGCCCCAGCCCTTCAGCACTGGCCCGGGGGCCCGAGGAACAGAATAACTAACTACCTTAAGTGGTGCAAGGAGGAAGTCAGAGACACTACCGAGGTCTGGTATTCGAGCCACCACCCATTATTCCTACCAACCAGGGATTCTCTAAGGAGCGCAGACTCACCTCCAGCCTACCTGAGCCAGACCAGAGGGGAAATAAGAGTCTGTGCCTGCAGGGCTTGATCTCCTGGGACATCCTCGCAAGCCCATTTGGGAAATACTGCGGCTGTAGGGTGTCTGTGCTGTGTTCCAGCCCCCTAAGGGAGGCTCTAAGCCAAAGCGGAGAGAAAAGCCTTCGGACCAAGCACAGCCATTTTGCCTCTGCTTCCTGGACCTGGGATCTGAGAGGCCCCAGGTAGCTCGCTCCCTTAAGAAGGAGGTCCCAGCAACCATCTCAGCTTCCTTCCTCTCTGTCCCCTCCAGACTCTAAGCAGAATGGTGATGCTAATGCGGTGCTGTCTGATGAGGAGGGAGCTGGCCTCACCCAGCCCCTGGCCTCGGCCCCCACCCCCGAGGAGCGTCGGGCCCTGCGACGCTCAGGTACGCGAGACAGAAACAGGAAGGCAGCCGCTTGCTTCCTGCTCAGTGCTGGGGACTACACCTGCGCTGACGGCAGTGTCCGGAAAGGTATGGCTCCCCGGGCTGGGCAGACGGGGAGCCCCCCCAGAGCTGAGTCTCCCCAGCCCTCCCCACAGAGCTTGAGGTCCCCGCCTCCCCTGAGCCCATGGCCACCATCTCCTCTGCCTTGGGTGCGCCCTCGCTTTTAGAATGGATGTCCCAAGTGCCAGTGTCTGGATTAGAAAGGTCTTTAGTATCCTCCATGAGTCTATGGAGCCCCTCCCCCAAAGGTACCCACCAGGAAGGGTAGTGCTAGACATTTTAGGGGATAATCTATTACCTCCCTGCTCTGGTCCTGCAGGCCTAGCCCACAGGGTCATACCTACTAGGTTATTCCCTAGTTCTAAACACTGCCAAAGCTTTCCCCAAGGAAACAGACTTAGGGATTCCAGGTCCTAGGTTTTCAGAGAGCCCACACAGGCCCTGTATCTCCAATTCTTCACTGGGGGCCTGGATCCCAAGGTGGACTGATCCATGTCTACAGGCTGCTGGGGTGTGATGGTCACGGGACAGGTCCAGGAGTGGCTAGGAGGAGGTGTGCAGGGAGCGTGGTTCTCTCTGAGGAGTCATCTGCAGGATCCTCACAGTTAGTGGAGCAGCCCCTTCCCTGTCTGTCAAGGAAGTCTGGAATTCTATCACCAGGCTTCCAGCATACGGCAGGGACAGAGCTGAAGTTGGTCTGTGCCAGCAGGGATTCTTCGGCTTAAATGAGAGAGGGAAACGGAAACCATTAGGGTGGCAAGGGCCAGTGATGGCTGAGAACCAGGAGGCTGAAGACCAGACCCTGGTCCTCCCTGTTTCCTGAGCCCACTTACCTTGGCTGTCCTGTGTCCTGACCTCTGCTAACATCCTGCCTATTTCCAAGAGAAGCTATGCTTCTCCCTAAACAAATGTCATCCCCCAGTTCTCTCTCTGGCCACTTCTTGACTAACAAGGCTTCCCACTCTCCACTTCCCATGGTCCCAAATCTCAGACTGACTGGTTTGAGTCAGACAAGGGTAGTGGTTGCTGCAGAACAGCCTGAGATGCCTCTGGGCCCTAAAGATGGGCCCTGGTCTGGGCAGTCTCCGGGGCACCTTCCCATGTGATTCCTAGGCACCCTGGGCTAATAAGCTCTGAAAAGTGGGCATCCAGCTTTGCTGGGCCCATATCTTAGTGGGTGATAGCAACAGGAACAACAGTCTGGCACCTGGAAGGATATGGCCCAGAGGCTCCCGCCAAATGGCTGTAGGTAGAATGCTCAGAGCTCACACACCCTCACCTGGGAATCCAGGGCTCCAACCTTCAGACCCTGGAAATGTCTTTCTCTCCTGCACCTCAAGAATGCAGTAGTGCCACTGCCTCCTTTTTCACACCAAGAGAGCCTTGCTCAGGCTGCAGCCTGCTGAGCAACGGTGTAAAGTGTGTCCCTCACTCTTGTGAACACAGAGCTGAAGGATGAACGCCCTGGCTTCCCTTCTGGTGCTGTGAAGTGCTTGGTGGAAGGAGAGTGGTGGGAGAGGCCATGAGTGTGCAAGTTAGGAGAGCCCTGAAGGCAGGTGCTCTCACATCCACAGGCACCATGCGAAAGAGCCTGCATGCCTCCACTTTGCCCCCCTGGGGTGCCTTTGGAGGCCCATCTGCTCTATTTTCAAGATGCCTCCACACTGCTTCTTGGCAACATGCATGTAGCTCAGCCAATTAGAGTGACCTTCGAGAGGGAACAGGTGGGTTGCTGGGAAACAGGCCCTGCTAAGCAAGTGTGGCAATTAATATCACCAAACTCCCAGTGCGCACTTAACAACTTTCCCCACACCACGCCTCTCCGCAGTCATCTAGACCTAGGACAAGGAGAGGCTGAGTCCAGCCAGGCCTGTTCCAGCCCTCAAACTGACCCCTTCACTAACCAGTGGTTTCCCCTGAGCCAGGAGTGTATGTGACGCAGGTGCTCACTGGGGAAGGTAGGTGCTGGAAGCTATGATGTCTCCGTGCAGCTGGGCCACCAAGGAGCTAGACGGAAACATAGCCCCGAGACAAGACAGGACACAGGTCAGCTGGGTGTAGGTCCCATGCTCTGCCCTCAGGAGCCCGGGAGACTGATGGCAGGGAGAAGAATCAAAGCCACTCCCAACAAGGAGAGATTCCCTTCACCCCAGTCTGGGGCCACCCACCCTACAGTTTCTTGAAGCAGCGTGGACTCCATGGAGCTCCCCTGGTGAGGAGATGCTCCCCTTTGACCCATGTGCCTTTTCTTCACCAAGGCTGTGAAAAGTCCCGGAGTCTAAACAACATAGCAGGAGCGACTGGAACCAGTCTGGGGCTGTCTCCACTGGCATCGCGGTACAGCTCGCCCTATCCTCCGAGAAAGCTCCTGCTCTCTCACCCCTTCCCCCCTCTCACCAGCCCCCCTCCCGGTCACTCAGGTCCTTAGCTACACCTACGGCCTTCCTCAGCTTTGACACGGGGACGCATAGCCAAGCAGGCATGTTTACATCCCTTATCCCTCCTGAGGCCTGAGGAAACAGCAGAAGGGAACTTCAGTCAGGATGGAGAATTCGAACCCCGGAGCCTGCCCTACACAGCACCTGGCTCCCCCAAATGTTCAGACATGGAACCCGAGTGCAAGGGGGAGATATTCTCAGAGCTTCTCCCTGAACCAGGTGCTGGCACACACAGGATCTGCGTCTCTGGGTTTTGCCTCCAGCTCAGGATCCTATAGGCCAGGGGGTGCGTGGTGCGTGGAGTATCTGGAATTTACTCAACCTTGCCTGCAAGTCAAACCTACATTTGTATTTTAATCACAGAAATTTCATTTGCATCCCTTATGCCTTTAACCAGTAACCAAACAGCTTGTCTGTCTGTCTGTCTCTCCACCCCACTCCAAGATCAGCAGGTAACAAGGCTGTCTCATGGGGCATCTCTGCTGGTGTAAAGGACACCTGACTCCTTGGAAGAGCAGCACCTGTGGTCAGAGCTGCCCTGGGAGGAGGACCTGGTGTTTTCCAGCTGCAGCATGGGGCGCAGATGGGAGTTCCTAGAATCCAAGTCCCAGGCTTGGTGCAAGCCCCGGGCAGGGTGTCTAAGTGCAGGGAGGCCCTCCTCCCTGAAGCCTGTGCCCAGATTCAGCGGGTGACACCCCGCGGCCCACCCAGCATCCCATCTGTGCCCTGCGCCTCAGCATCCCTCTCCATGCTGCTTCCTCTGCTTCCGCGACAGTTTGCTCCCTCTCCCCGCTCCCTCAGATTCCCAGCCCTGCCTCTGAGTCACCTGCCACTCCCACCCAGCCTCTGCTCTGTATTCCTGCCAGAACCGGAGACTCATCTAATTTCTATAATTAAGTGTATTCATTTACCTAACGAGGCCGGGAGCACAACAGGTTTGTGAGTCATTGGGTGAGCAGGGGTACACCTTGCGCGGGGACAGCTGAGGGGAAGTGAGGAGACAGAAGCTCTCCTACCCACACCTGCCACTGGCCCCGCCTGCCCCCAGGAAGCCCCTCCCTCAGCCCAGGGCTAAAGGACAAAAGCCTCAGCCAAGACATTCCCTGTTTCACCTGATGGGAATTGACCTGACAGCGGAGCCACGTGCCTGGCAATTTTAGGGTCGGATTACGCAACTTTGGACAGGGAGTGACTACCGGAAGGTCCATATTTGCTCCCTACAGGGTAAGGAAGGGACCTGGTGAGATCGCTTTAGGGACCTGGCAGGAAACTGGGAAACCAGGGGCTCAACTCAAAAGGTGGCCCAGGCATAAACTGCTGGGGTTGGAGTGCAAAGCATGGGACAAGCTCTGCCAGCACTGAGCAAACACTAGATGACCTTCTGGAAGTTCTGTCAGATCAGGCCCTGGGACACTCCTGTTCAGCCATGCTCTCCGGGCCTGTAGCCGCTTGCTCGCAGAAGGAGGTGTCTTCTGAGAGCTGAGATGAGGGGATACAGGAAAGCCTGTGAAGCAGGGGAAGATGCTGAGTCTGAATCTAGCCTCCTTGTGGTAGGTTCGGCCCCACCCAGCAGGGCTCCTGGCACCAGGAGACTGTGGTCTGACAGATTCATGATGAGCCAGGTGTCCAGTTTAGCATGGGTACCACAGTTATTTTCTCTGACTTGCTGTTCTGGTTTGGGGAGCTGAGGTAGCTATTTCTGTGGCATCCCTCAAGTTGTCAGGAGCCCAAGTTTCCACGGCACCCACCGCCTCCTCCCCTCTTCCCTCCTACGGGGATGGGCATGCTCACAGCACCCCAGTGCGGGGCACAGATGTCCCTGGGCAGCACAGTGCCTCTGCCAGGCTGAAGCCCCTAGTTTTTGTTGGAGGGATGGGCTCCTATACCCACCCCCAGTCTCCTAGCTCCATAGGGAAGAGACAGGTTCAGTTGGTGGGAGAACTTAGGTGAGTTATCTGCCCTCAGCTACCTCTTAGGACTTTGGTGTTTGCCCAGGGGCTTGGGAAAAAATAAAGCCATCATTTACAGAGTCTCCATGCCTCCCTCAGAGGCAGTGGTCTATACAAGTCTCAGGCCCATCCAGATGTTGAACGTCCTTCGCTAGGAGAAAGGTCTCTCCCACCGAGGGCATAGTTAACCTTTCCTTAGATTGGACTTGGAATTGGACCTGTTGCTTTGGCTTCTAGAAACCTGGCCCTGTAGCCTGGGACCGGGCCCCCACTTAAAGAGCAAGCAGGCAGCCCAGGATCAAACTCCTAGCCTTACCTTCCAGACTCTGCCAGGACAACTGAGAACCCTAGAGGTAGCTGTGCAGCCCAGTCTTCTAAGACAAGTGACCGTGAGGCGTCACCAGCAGGAAGGGGCCTGGCCAGTCTACAGCTGGGTCAACAAGGAGTTAGAAAGGATGCTGGCCGGGCGGTGGTGGCGCACGCCTTTAATCCCAGCACTTGGGAGGCAGAGCCAGGCGGATCTCTGTGAGTTCGAGGCCAGCCTGGGCTACCAAGTGAGCTCCAGGAAAGGCGCAAAGCTACGCAGAGAAACCCTGTCTCGAAAAACCAAAAAAAAAAAAAAGAAAGGATGCTGAGTGCTGGCCAAGGCTTCAGGAGGCACCCGTGGGCCAAGACTGCCCTTAACAAAGTATCAAGAGAGTAGGCCTCCCCTGCCCCTGATCAGTCTCAAGTCTGAATATCCTGCCTCGATCCTAGTGAGTCGTGGAGGTTAGAGTCCAGCATTAGATTCCTAGAAAGGATCTCCCAAGACCCCAAGGGTGGAGAACGTAGAAGCCATTGACGAAAGCCACCCGGGGCCATTCTTTCTCCAGTGTGTCTTAGGATCTAGTGGCCTGTAGAGTGCCCAAAGCCACTCCTCTTTTCCAGGTGGGTAGGGACCAATGGCTGGGTCCTTCTGAATGTTCACAGACAGAGCAAAGTTAGACATGCAGGGCAAAGGGTAGCTCTGTCTTGTCCTCAGAAACGGAGCACCAAAGAGTCTTGGGCTCACTCCTATGGTTTCCTCAGGGACAGTACTCAAAGGCCTAGAACTCTAGAAGGCCAAGGGACAGTGTTTAAGGGGGCGATCGGGGACACAGTCTTAAGGAGGTGGTAGCAGGTCATGCTGAGATGAGAACATGTTTTTATCAAAGAAAAAAGCTTTTGAACATGTCAGGGAACCCCAGAGTAGCAGCTGTGAGGCTTGGATGCCAAATGGCGTACCCACCTTTAACTGCAAGCCTAATAACTGTACTAGTCAGCCTGGGGGGGTGGGCGGGTGGAAACTTCTACCACACTACTAGTCCAGTCTTCCTGGCTGTCTAGCCAGGACTGCCACTGGGAAATAGGGGGAAAGACCCAAGCCTCAGATATCTGAAGCTGAGGGCATGGGTTTCTTAGTAAGATGCTGTGGGCCAGCCTGCTCTCCTGAGGCTGTGTGCCCTCCATACCCCATGCCTCAGGACTCTGCCTATCACTTTGAGGTCAGGGGCTGGGTGTGACATGGCTCCACGCTCTAGAGCCATCTTCACTGGCTCCTGGGGATAGTGAGATTGTCCATGGTGGTGGGGGCAGATGGAGCTATTTGGGGGAGAGCACAAATAGAGTAGAGAATGGGTGATGGGCCATGAGCCATTGTCCACATCAGGCCCACTGCCTCCCTGCTAGACCAGATGGAGTTTGCTATGGTTCCTCTCCTTGCTGCATTAGAACTCTGAAGACCGGAAAGGCTAGTACTTGGAAATGGTTCCCTGAGTTCACCGTCACCTGGGTCTCCTTGGCCTGGAGTTGGTTGGCAGAGGAGAGGTGAAGGTCTCACCCCACCCCCTGTACCACCCCAGCTCTTCCTCGCCTCTTAGCCCTGGGTTCCCTATGCGTCCCAGCTCTGCTCTTGGCTGTTCCTTAGCCCACAGCCTACGGGTCAGCGACTGGCTGGCTTCCTTCTAACGTCTTATTCTTTGTCTCTCTCTTTCTTTTGCTGAACTCTTTGCCTCCCCCAGAAGGCAATGTTGAACCGAAAGCGTGCGTCCCAGTGTCTCACACCTGTGCTCTTTAAACACAGAGACCTGCCAAGACGCCCTCTCGTCCAACTATGCCCACGCTGAAGTCCTCACCCTCTCTTAACGCGGGCGGCACCAACGTGAGAAAGACAGGCAGACAGACAGAAAGCCAGAGGCTTAGGGAAACTCTGGAACCCAGGCACGAATCTTTCGCTGGGAAAGACTCAGATATCCTTGTTTGCACAGGACTGGTTGGTGGAAAAACCTCCCATGTGACTCTCGGGGCCCAGAGCCATCTGGGTCTGATACTCTGTTCTACTGTACATTGAAGAGACATATATGCACATATAGTATCTATATTCATACATACTATATAACTCTTGTGTGTAGTGCACGTGCTACTGGTGGTCTGTCTTCATTGTTAGGCTATGTCTCCCAAGTCCTCTTCCCACCCTGTCCCCCACCCCCCTCTTCCTTCATGGATTGTTTCTTCTGACCGTGTTGTATGGATTGTCCCAGGAAAAGTGCACCTGGAACCGGCCCCTCCAGCTGGGTGGACCCAGGCTGCTCTCACTTGGGGGTGTTTCCCCTGCCAGCAGGTGGCCTGTGGAAGTCTGCTAAGGCAAGGTTGCCCTCCAGGGCCACTGCTTCACTAGCCCAACCCCACCCCAGATTGGGGTTCTACCTCCCACCCCACACCCCGGTTTGTGGGGGCACTTCCAGGGGTTCTTCTACAGCCCTTGACACTCCTTCCAAGCACCCCTCTGTGCCTTTGACAGAGGGGAGTTTCATTTCTTCTGTGTGAGTCTCCTTTGTCCACTTGTTTTCAAAGATGCTGCTGGGCAGGTGGAAGGGGATCTGTTTGCCCATCTGGCTCAGGGGTCTGAGAAGGGGACACTTTCGGCGAGAGGAGACTAGTTGCAATACTGTACTTCCTGGCCGGTGGCCAGAAGATGCGTGCAATAGCAGAGGCCAGGTGACCCCTTCAGCCTCGGCCTCTGCCCCTCCCTCTGCCCTTTCCTGCCCACCCTTGGTCTCGGTCAGTCCTTTTCTAAAGCTGTCCCCTTGTGTGTGTCCGAGGCACGCCTAGGCTGGGCCCACTGGGCCCTGTCTGCATGCCCTCAATTGTCATGCTGTGCTCGAACACCAATAAAGACATCCAAGTGTCCTGCTGCTCCTCTGTGAGCATCTGCCTCGACTCTCTTTTCTGGCTGTGGATCTGTGGGGGGGATCTCCCTGAATTCCAACCAACCTACCATCTGTGTCTCAGGAATGCAAGCACACCTGAGCCCCTACCAGGGATCCTCCCTGTGGCCCAGCTCCTGCAGTTTACAGCTAGCAGTAAGTACTCAAAAGTGATCTGCTCAGGGCAGCCAAGGACATAACTCTGAACCCCTGACTCCTGGGCAGTGTCCTGATACCCTCCTGCTCCATGCCCCTCCCCCCGTAGCATGGACTAAGTCTTCCTTGTTTAGGGAAGTCCACTGTGTGCCTGCTTGTTTGTACAGGGACTTCCCTCTCCCTGCAGCTGCATCAGTGTTAAGTGGGCCAAGGCCCTGGGGAGGCCAGCCGTCGCGAGGACTGCATGATGGCTGAAGGACTGGAGCCAGCGCTGGACTGGTGACACCACCAAGGGCCTCTTGGGGATGGAGGAGGAACATACTTGGGGTCCATGGGCTAGGGAAGTGGCAAGTTCTCATACATGGTGACCCTCGCTGCCCCTTTCACTCCCACAGAGGGGCGTGCACAAGGCTGACTTTATGGATGCGGAGCCCTGCAGTCACCCAGAAGGGGCTCCATACGGTCATCGCTGTAGAGTTACCAATCCTCAACAAGAGCTGTGGTTTCATTTGGACCGGGCTCTACATATCACAGAGCCAGGTCCGGGCGCATGTTCTCGTCTCCTCACTCCTCACTGTCTACACAAACTAAGCCATAGGAGCCCCCATTTAGTCTTGATCTGCCACTTATTAGCTATGTAACTTGGGGGCAATGCCTCCGATCTGTTTTCATGCCTGTAAAATAATGGTGCCCATTCCAAAGACAGCAGAACAGCCTGGCCCAGGGTCAGGGGTCTGCACACAGCATGTAGGAGACAGGAGATCTCCCATAAAATGCTAGCTCCCTCCTCACCCTTGCCTGCAGCTCAGGCTTTTTTTTTTTTTTTCTGCAGATTTCTTCATGTCCAAACACACTCAGAAAAGACAAGAGCACACTCGGAGCTGTCTAGGGCAATGCAGAATGGCAGGGTGAGGACCGCAGGGCCCTGGGGAAGGAAGAAACCAGGGGAAACCTATTCCTGAAGTGGCATGGAAAACCAGCCACGAGCCTGGGCCAGCAGCAGAGGCTGGGCGGTGGCAGGCGGCCAGTTGTCAATTAAAGATAAAATCTCTCCTCCAACTGGAGGGCAGATAGGGCTGTGCCCCCCCCCCTCACCCCCCAAGAGAAAGCCATTTGCAGCCAGGCTGCTCAGAGAAGCTTGGCCAGGCGATAATGGGATGGGATGTACTGCTGGCTCCCTAATGACATTACGCATCAGGGCCCACATCCAGAATGGCTGTTTTTTAGTTTAGCTGGGTTTTTTGTTTTGTTTTTAACATAAATATGAAACCATATTTATGGGCTAAGAACCTAGCAAACAGCTTGTGAGTATTGGATGCTAGGAACACCCTAAAGGGGACCTATGCTGGGATACATAGTGAAACCTTCAAAACTCTGGAATGGGCAGATGCAGAGTTGCCCATGTGTCCCAGCAGCTGCACCATGAAGGAAGGCACACTGTAGGTTCCTGCTGTCCCTGGGGCCAGAGTTGAGTCCCAACTTGGGAGCTGCCTTAGGGGATAGAATAACAGTGCTGGGAGGGACCTTTAGAGTCAGAGGGACTCAGAGGTTCATCCCAGATCTGTAACTTCCTAGTTGTGAGTTGCTGAGGTTGCCTGAATCTCCGTTCACTGTCATAACTGGAGTAGCAAACAATGGGTGTACTGAGCTGTGGCAGAGTGATGCAAGGTGCCGCCAAGGAACCTTTCTGCATGGCATAATCATTGCGTAACTGAGCTGGCAAGGTGGCTCAGTGGGTAAAGACACTTGTTGCCAGGCCTGGCAACCTGAGTTTGATCCCTCAGGACTCATGTGGTGGAAGGACAGAGCCGATTCCTGCAAGTGTCCTCGGACCTCCACATGCACACCAATAAATAAATTACTAAAAATCATTGCATTTAAACAAACATGGATGGGAGGTTACTGTGGAGCAACCTTCACCACCAGCAGCAGTTTGGTTTGATGCCTTCGCTTGTCAAAAGAAGTGCCTTGAATTAACCTTATTTCAGGGAGACCCTTCTGACATACGAGAGGGGACTAATTAAACAGAATGCACGTGTTTCACCTGAGACATGCACATAACGCGCATGGAAATGCATTCTGAAATTGGTGTGACCCTTTGCTCTACAGAGAAGAAAGTGGAGCACAGCACATAAGGTCATTCCTCCAGAGTCACAGTCCTGTAAGAAGCAAAG